AAATGTGACAGCTTCTGCCAATTGTCGAAGACGACTTGATGGACGTGTGCCAGGCGCAATGGGATGGTGCAACAGGTGTATTCGAACCGTGCGGTTGAACCTCTGCAGCTTTGATGCCGAATGATTCATTACAGTTCATCATCGTTGCCAAGCAGTGCTCTCAGTACCTAGTGTGTTGGTCGCTCAGAACTGCCAGATACCAGGTAACGCTCCCGGCATCTGACTGAAAGTCTTTGTCCTATCTTCGGCAGTAAAGAATGATGGGCTTTGTGCTGCATTCGACGTTCGCTGGAGTGGGTGGGTGACCTTACCGCAATAAGACGGTAATCACGGGAGCCAGCTGGCACATGACCTACGCATATACTCACTAGTAAGCGCCAAATCGGCCCGTCGTCCATTCCTGTCTTTCGGTCTGTTCGTGATAGCTTCCTCGGTATCGGATCTTGTTGGACAATCATGGTCATAGCACAGCTTTTACTTGACCCCACCAATAGCGACACATCGTCAGACTCTTTGCTTTCGTCCACCGAAGAAATTTGGCAGCAGCAATATGCGCAGTGGCGTGTCAAAAATGGATCATCTCGTTGTCGTTCGCGCGGTTGTTGTCACGGCAAGTCTGCAAGATGGATTTGTTTAGTACTTCGATGCATTTGAGCACGTCGTTCGCGGTCTTATACGCAATAGATCGGTATGTAAACAACCTGTTGAAGTCCATCATGTGGTCAAACGCTCAATGGCGTTGACTCAAAAATGTGTAGCTTCGAACAGCGTTGACCCGAAGACATCCTTGCTGTAGTCTTTTACGCTCAGCATCGAAAGCATCCGCAATTTAGTCAGCTAGCGCGTAGCGGTCTACAACAAGTAGACCGCCCTAGCAACAAAGTCGACTACTAGCCAAAACGGTGCTATCGAGTACTCATATGTCTGTATAAGTAAGCTGGATGACATGAGCTTGATGGAAGTGGCAAACGCTGATAAACGGCGGTCTACCCTGAGCTTCGCTATACGGTATACCGACGACATGATGGAAAGAGTGGAGCCTGGAAGCTTCGGTAGCCGTAACACGACCACCACCACGTCGTCGGCGAGTTATTTGTCAGCTCATACGCGACGACAGAGCTTCTACAATCGTGTACGTCTTTGCAAAGCTGTAACAGATGGAGAAAGAAACTGTTCGCAGCACGGTAAATCACTACGTGACAAGTATATACATCCGCTAGATCCCGCGTGCGTTACGACATTACAAGTGATGATCAAAGCCGGTCGTCGTGTCATTTGCTATACGTAGGTAGCGACGGCAGCACCAGATTTTTCCTTAAACGCTGTCGCTGCTTTCATATTTGTTGACTTCGACGATCAATCCAGTACACTTTCTTCACGCAGGACAATCGAATCACCGCATATGCGGTCAAAATTGACCTCTTGCGAAGTCAAGACATGTCACTCATGTGCAAAAAGGCAGGGTAGGCTAGACGTCCTCCTGCTAGTAGAATAGCAAAGGTAGGACGGGCTGAAACTTCCCCCACTTCGGTCTGCCGATCGGCAATTGCACAAGAGGACGCTCAGTGTAAAGTTAGGAAAGGCAACATGTCCGTGAATTATCGCGCTTGATCCAACAGGCCGTTCGCACGCTCGAATTGCTTGCCTGTCGTTGTGATCTTCTGGCAGGGAGTAGTGTTGAAACGCTCAGTTGAATTTGGCGCTGTCGGTAATTGTATGGACGGTCTCGACCACTGCAAGGTAGAGCCTTTGATCAAAACAACGCATGCTTCAATGGAAGCTCTTCCCTTTGTAAAGAGGGCGTGAGAAAGACACTAGAGATTCCATATTGCACTGCTACGATCAGACAAACGAGTAGGATCAAAGAGAAATGTATATTGAGGCGTATGCGAGCTTCACAAGTTGGTTAATGTATCTCCGAGAAAACGAGATCCAAAACTGGCACGATGTTGTTTGTGCCCGAGTTGCGATAAGGTTTTCATGACTTCCCACGAAAATCATTTGGTTGTGATCTTACCCTCGTGTGGAGAGTTTACGGCGACATAGTTTGGATCCTTACCACGAGAAGACAAAACAACTCTGTCGCCGCCGCGAGAGGACAAAATAACTCTTTCACCACCACGGTTGGAAGAGAGAACGATGACGGATAGACTTCCGTCGACTTTAACGTCTTCAATCGTCTCGGAAGTCGCGCGTCGGTAGACGAACGTGAGGATCAACTGGGTGCAACCCAGTATGAATCCTGCGATGTTGGGGCCCAGAATGAACTTGTTATCGACCAACGCAGCGTACGTTGCCCAATTGAAGCTGTTGAAGACGTTCACGACTCCCATCGTAAACGGCATTGAAGACGCAGTCTTCGTTCTCAGGACGGTAGCAATAGTGGCCATAGGAGATGTGTACATCCCGACGCTCGTTCCAATGGTCATGAACCCCAATGTTGTGCTGACGGATTCTCGAGATTGGCACGTGTATCCGGCTAATGCGAGCACGCTGTAGAGCGTGACAAGAAAGCACACAATAAAGGATCCGACAAATGCGTTTACAACAGCGCGTTTGTTTGTAGCCCAGCGATAGAAGAAGTAGTTGAAGAAAACGCCTGTGACAACTCCTACAATCGCTTGCGCAAATAGAGGCATCATGTTGTCGACTGCTATGGCGTAGAACATGCCGACGTAACAATTCGTAAACAGCAAGAGACACGGCATGACCGACATCTCGCCTGTGCTGTGGTTTTTGTGCATTCGCCGAAAGTCAGGGATCAACGAAATGCGCAGTAGTAGAGTTGTGGAAAGTGTGAGTACTTCAAACACGTTGACAGCGATCTCATGGGTACTCATCTTGTAGATGGGACTGTTGCTCGATCACAAAGGTGATGCCTGTGGTCTCGATTGCAAATTCGCGTATGGCTCGATGGTGTACAGGTCTCCTCATCCGTTTTCAACCACGAGACAACAAGACACGCGATACACGATTGGCCGTTCGTGAAGCTTTCGCGCTTCAGCATTGTTGTGACCAGCGGCTCAGTTATAGACAGAAAGGGGGCGGAAAACGCGATGGTCTAGTGCGAACCGTTTCGTCCTTCATTTGTTGCCGTTTCCAGTCAGATAGTCAATAACATCCACTAGTAGCCTGTAGTCTTTTAACGGTCGAGGCATGTCGCCGATGATGTCAAGAACGTTCTTCTGGCTTATGTGGCAAGAAATTGACCGTGCTCGGTCTGATCAACTTTGATCGAATAGACTTGCAATTTACTCCTAGCACGCTTGTATAGAGCGACGTAACTTATTCGCCTCTGGACAATTCACTGAGCTGAGCTGAGCTTACTGTCACATTGAATGTCTCGATGTAACGACAACATCACGATAGCGAGCGCTAATTCCTTCTGTGTGATACGTAGCCAGGTGGCCGCGTATGGAAACATGCGATATCAAGAGGCGAACAAAGCATGCGCTTTCACAGCAAAGCTCGAGGCACACGACACCGTCCACTGTGGGAGGCACCGATAACGCCCATCAAGAGCGATACATCGAAGGCTTTGCCGCACTGGCGTTAGCCGTTGGCGACGCGGTGCAAACTGTAATAAAGCCTACTGTTGCCCTTATTGTACTTCACGACGGAACCGGTGCCTGAGTGGGACCCGTTGATCGTCACCGATAAACAGAGGACGAGGGTTCGTCCTCTCCGTTCCAAACTTACCGCGTCTAGTCCGTCTACTATACTACACGTGGTAGTAGGTGTCGTGGTAAGTCGGACTTCCTGCCACAATACCTAGCACTTGAGATGTCACAACGTGGTGTTTGTGTCGTGTGCGTAGAATTGTTGGACGTAGCAATTGGCGCAGCAAAGAATGACATGGCGTGACTGATACATCGTACCGCCGTTTTCTACTTCTACCACCACCTGTTGGAATCCGACATGAGCGCAGCGTGAGTTTTTTGTACGGGGGCCACCCATAGGCGGACGCTGCATGAGCGGGCTCGGGCTCCCTGACCACCTCTGTCCGTACAAACAAAGCACTTGCGTATCTACAAGATGCGCAGTGATGATCGAGTTAGCGGCTCGTTTTGAGACGTACGTGCGAGAAGGAGATGCGAGACAGCTCACGTAAGCAAACAAATCCATCTATCGAGCTGTCGAGCTCGACTTTCTTGAGCAGGACCACCTGAGATCCAGACATGGTGCGTGCACACGCTCAAGGCCTTCTCAAAAGATGCAAAGGGACGATCGCTGACGTGCTCCATATGCTCTTGGCCAGCGACCGTGACGACTGCCTCGTTTCAGAGAATGCACGAGTGCCTGGAACAGGGACGTCAGCGGCAGAGTTCCCCCTGATGCCTTGGGTAAGCACCAGCCGCTACTGTGAGTTGGTGCGAGTTCAAATACCTCTGCGACCAAACCAACGTCCTTCAATGCGTGATCTGGTGACACACTCACTAGATGGGACCACTCAGGAGCCCTGGTACCAATCGAGCAAGGCCTCTCAACGAAGCATGAACCTCGAAGCATGGTGTCAACCAGTCCGGAGAGCCTCGACGACGAAAGAATCGTGGGGGCTACCCGGACTGGCTGGCACCAGATTATCCACTCGAACCAGCGCCCATTGCGTGGGGCGGGCGACCCACGACCAGTCAAAAAAAACGTGCTTCCCCTACCCGCTGGGTACTGTAACCGATCGTTAGTCACACTAGATGTACCGCGGTTAGGTCACACAACACAAGCCACGAGACATAGACAGCATGAGGTCCCATTGCCGCGTAACACGACGAGCAAAGTTTCGAGCTGTGGTTGCATCGAACAAGCCGTAAACGGTCGGTAGCGCTGTGAGTAAAGGGCTTGACTGAGCGACGACAGCCCACGCTTTTCTCTGGTATCTGGCGCCCTGAACGGAGGAACGTGTGGTCAAAATCAGAGATTTCGTCGCGATGAGTAACGCTAGATATGTGCGTGCTCCATAACATCAAGCAAAGTGCAGTTTGTTTTGCGTCTAGTAGCGACAGTTATCGTGCACTAGGCGTCCGAAGCTCAACGAATTCGATGCTGTCTCCGTCGGCGCCCGTCCTGTCGAGATCGACTCCTTTTTGATCGCACCGGCTACTCGTAACCGACTGCGAGAGCGTAGTACCACACTCGAGCGATTCGTCGAGGCAGTCGGTCGCTGAAGCGTCGTTTCGTGTTCTTGCCGTCGTCCACCGTACTGACGGGTAGATAGCATACAACGTCAATTGGATCAGCGTGAGAGAGAAGCCGGAAGCACTCCGGAGCAAAAGCCACACGTCGCCAAGAAGGATGGAGTACGTCATCCAACACGCGCTGTTGCAAAAGCTGACGACGCAGAGCGTGAAAGGCATTGAAGCCGTTGATTTCGTACGTACTATCCTACGAATCGTAGCAAGCGGAGATCCGTACTGACCGATGGACGTGGCGAAGGAAATTGCGCCCATGGTTGTAGCCATCGACGCCTTGGACTGTCCTGTGATGCCTTTGACGCCGATCGTGCCGTACAGACACACGAGTGCAATAAAGACGATGGCTGGAGCACAAGTTTTGTGCACAGATCGCCGGTTGTCGGTGTAGCGATAGAAGATTGCAATGAACCCTACGGAGGTAAAAAGCCCGAGAACGGAAGTCACGACGAGCGGTAGAATGTTCCCCGAGAAGTAGCCGTACCAGACAAGCACGGCGCAGTTGGTAAAGAGTAGCACAACAGGCAGGGTCTGCACTTCGCCCGTTCGTTTCGCTTTGTATACCCGCCAGAAGTCCGGGAAGGGCGCAATCCGCATACAGACGGACGTGATGACCGTCAGTACTTGAAAGGTTACAGCGAGGGCCGCCATGGTTGTTGACGGACGTATGGGGGTCACTGGACCGTGTTGAAAGGGAGTGGCAAACTGACGAATGACGGACAATTGCAGCCTGCAAGAAATGACAAGACTGCTGTCCCTTTGCCATTCACGATTGCTCGACCAAAGCCGGTTGGATTTCTTGTAGGCGCATCGTTTGCGGGTACCACTGCTACCGAAGCTGGCTGCAGCCTTTCCGATTGTGGTACAGCCCTCACGATCATGCGTGATCAGAACCAAAGTCAGCATTTGAGCTCTATGTTTCTCATCGACCATACTGCTTGGGTTTTCGATGTACGTCAACAGTTTGACACAATCAGTCCGGCCACTTCCGCGCCTACGGTCGCCGCAATTCGGTCATCTTGTTCTCTTCCTTCTTATTCTCCTTCTTCATCTCGCAAAGGGGCTTTGGGGCCTGCTGGGAACCAGCTTTGGGGATGTCCTCCGGTGACCGCGCTGATGGAAATTATCACGCCAAAACAGATTTTGTCTGTCGTAAAAATCCAGACAATCGGGCACATCCCAAGAGTGAACACACACGCAAGACGAGTGAGACCTTCCAGTAGTCGCTTCATCTGTTAGTACCTCGGGCACCTTTCGCATGGAATCAGTAGCATTCGCATGCGGCTTATCCGTCTTTTCGTAGGTCAACACAGTCGTTCGGCTACATTGCGACCATCAGCCCCCCATCGCCTCTTCAGCGTAGTTGGCTAGCTACATTTGGTGGTGCTGGCGGGTGCGTGGTGTTATCGTATCATGCGACTGACGTATCGTTTCCCGATTTCATATGCCACACAAACCCGGCTTTTACCCTTGCACGTACAAGCGCCTCCCCCACAGTAGAGGACATTGCACTATCGAGGGTTTTATGCTTCGACAGGCCGCATGCTCATAACCGAAGTTCTGGGGTGGTGTTTTATGTAGCAGTACGTATCGTACATTGTTTCAAGACCTTGCGCTGGTTTCAGAGGGGATCAAATGAGCAGTCCCTGCAACGGAACGGCGGGTGCTAGGACAGGATAGGCAGACCACTTGGGGCTCGACCGAATTCTTTGGTAGCAAGAATCCGGTGCAGACCTCGACCTAGCATCTCCTTGCGCTCGTCAAGTGCAGCACACGATTTATTCGAGAAATCGGCATATGACTATCGTGGGGTCGTCATTTCTGGACAACGTAGCAGCTATGTCGGGGTCTAAGCTATTCTGCACATCGATGTCGCGCATCAGCAACCACAAGATCAGCAACCACAAGATGGTGCATCTATCATCCTGCTCATGTTTGCCGTCTATTCGTTTTCGTATTGCTGCGTGATGTTATGGAAAATCTTGAAGCTGTCCCTTCTCACGGAGTCGGCGGAACTACGGCACCCCTGGACAGACATGCAACCCATGTACCACTCCTCGTCTCACAGACGATGGGCTCGAGAGACGGTGATCGACTGACGATTTCGTTGTGCGCGCCGTTGCCAGATATATGTCTTGGGCTCTTCCGGTCAAAACGAGACAGCTTTGGCCAACAGTCCAGTCGAGGGACCATCTATGGCTGCGGGACGGAACTGGGAAGCACATTGGCACCGAGGAAATACGACCGACTTTGGCCTTGCGCACTCGCCGATTTGGGCATTGAGATTTATGCCGTGTGACCCCTCAGATCTCCCGGAGGTGATCTGCGAGTATCGCGGCTCGGTTTGAACTCGCCAGGGGCCCACACCCCTCATTACACTATGGGGCTTTTCGGCTAGTAGGGCCTCCAGCCCACCCAACTATCACACACCCTTCGGTGCGGGTTGGCAGGGCGGCCACCCATTGGGTGGTTGCTCGTCATACTTTATTAGCCTATCTCCGGCGCCCTGTAATCGAACCCCCCTCCAGGGTATCGATCCAGGTACCTCCCGGTCCCAGCTCCAGTGGTCTACCACTCCGATTTGGGCATTGAGCGGACGGGACCCACCACGTTTTTTACCACAATTTCCGCGTATCTATGTCTCCCGGGACGGCGGCACATCACACAGACCGTAAACCTCTCAGGTAGGCGCTAGCCATCGCATATGGTAACCCTCCGTCGTGCATCGCCGAGAAATGCGTGGTCCTCGCTACCTCCAGAGATCAGCCACCGACAGCAGCCGACCCGGTGCTGTTTTCCTGGCTGTGAATTTTTCAGACATCGCTAGCCTAATTTCGGGTGATAGGCAGTCATGAGTTCCTCTCTCGCTGAGATAGGCGATGTGCATAGCGCAGTGACGCCCCGGAATCCGCCGAGGCTTCGGGTGCCAAATCGCTGGGTCGTGACGGTAGACGGGACAGTATACGGCGTGGCCGCGCTGGCCTCGGGGTCCACTCCCGGGGCGACCGTTCCAGACAAGAGCCGGGCGGCTGACTTCCACTGGACGATCGTCGAGAAGTCCTCTACTCACTTAGCGAGTCAGGATGACGTAGCGGGCATCCGTCAAGCTCAACGGGAAAAGGGACTCGTCGTTGAGGCCCACCTATCCATGCACTGTTTTCCGTGAGAAGGTTCCCCTGATTACGTCTGATCGACATGTGCGCCGGCGTCGAAAACGACAACCCGACTAGCACATCAAAGTGGACCTAAGCAAGGGGCTAGATGGACTACTCCGTGGTTGATCGGATCAGCGAAACGGAACGAACGGGGCTTTGCAGCCCTTGAGCAGACACCGATAGAGCTGTCGAGACACCGCAACGCGGTCCCCCGTATACCAAGCGTGGGTAAACTAACGATCGAATGGTGCCTCGCCAGCTCAATAGCTGCTGTCGGGCACCATCGGTCTGTAGCAGGCACAAAGAGACGCTGGAGCATATTTCGGGGGATGCCTAAGACTGCTGGCAGGCAATTGTTGCCTAGCGGACAGGTCTCATTGGACATGAGACAGCCTTCAGCTTTATGCGAGGTTGCATGGCACTAGGCCCCGCTATATCTCCGCTTCTGTCACGGAGGCTGCAGAGCGCGTTTGAGGATATACCATGGAGGCGCATGTACGTCAATGTAAGCGTACAGAGAGGGTGCTATGTTCGATACGCATCACTACCCCCTGGGTCCAGCGCGATCGGGTCGTTCACGAGAGCACACCGCAACGTTGCAGGGATGTGTTCGAGAGTGTAAACTTGAAAGTGTTTGGCAAGTGGAAGCACTAGCGACGCGGGAGCGCAGAAAGCTACACACAAAAGTGGACGGGACTCGTCTCATGCAATGCCCTAAGCACATCACCCTTTCGGTCGCTAGATCATCGCACACACACCGGCGTTGCTAACCTGGCTTGGGACATTCTAGACGTCCTGTACACCATAATGTCGTTCGTGACTGTCTGTTTCCTCTCTCTCTAGCATGTTTTCTCATGCAAAGACAGGTCTTAGAATTCAGCCTCACGCCGCAAGTCACACTCATGGCTAGCGTCGTCCAGGTGTGAAGAAGTCCTGTTCGGTGACCTAGTGGCGACGCAGAGTGTTACACAAGCGTTATCGATGAGATCAGATATTGCATACCGAGATTATCACGCACACAACAAAGCGGTGCTCCTCGAGAGCATTACACAAGTACTCCTCGAGGGCGTTAGAGTCGCAAGTAGTCCGACTGAAGCAAGCTGTTGCGACCAAATGCTGTCTAGTGCACTAATGCTGTCGCATCTCATTGCCGAGCGATTTCACCAGCGCAATGCCCGTGTATCTAGAATTCGCTCGCTTAATCTACTCGGCAATGCCGAATGAAGTCAGAAGGCTGCAAGTGTTTCGCAGTCTTTGTCGGAACCGAACTAAAAGACCGTTGTCGTGGCCACATTAGCTTTCGATTCCGTATGAAAAGGCCAATCGATCGGACAAGCTTCCTTACAGGTTAGAGTGGGCGGTCTTTGATGTTGTTCACTCAGCTCGTGTACTGTAGATATGTAACGATGGACGGTGCAGGTGGTAACACAATGTATATGGTGCTCTCTCACGCCACAACGCTATCAGCACAAGCGAAAGTGAGGTGTTGCTGCACCGAAGTTCACTCTGTCAGCTGAGCGATAACAGGTAAACGTTGTCTCGTGATGCAGGTACGAGCACGAGTGCAACGCCAAGTCCACATATTGGGCAAGTCGTAGTGGTTGTGTGGCTTGATTCGCTTGTCGACAGTGACGAACAAACTGCACCACACAACAAGCACGTTGGCCCAAACATTCTGCTATGATTGCAACAAGAGCTTCTCATGGAAGCTTCGGTGTATTATTCGCTTGGATCATCTTCTTCTGCTTATCCAAAGGCCGTCTGCCCGAGCAAGTAGCAAGATCTGCTAAGTCCTATTCCTACTACTTCGACTAACGATATTGACACATCTACATGCTGCATTTCTTTCCCGCATTTCCTGCCGGTCCGTGTCCTTCCCAGGTGCGACGTGGTACGTCGATACCCCTTTCTCCATTTTACCAAGGCACACCGTCTACAAAACGGTTCTTTGAGATCCAACGGATCCCAACAAATTCGACAATTCGCTTGTACTGAAGATGTAACGTCCTTCGCTCCATCACCCAGCGTAGGTGGTTCCTTGTCTGCAGCTTACGGAATCGATGCGTTCGTCAGCCGTGTGTGGACATTTATGAGTGCAGGGACGAGCAGAAGCGATAGTCTCGGTCGCCAGCAGAGTATATGCAGTCTTTGCGCTGCTCCGATGAACCCGCGGCAACAAATTGCTATTGGAAGAATACCGACGACGAATCTGATGATTGCAAACGCTGCGGCAAATGATTATGTCCTCATTTGTCGATCACGAAACAGATGCACGCAGATTGTCACCCAAAGACAGCATTGATGATAGCGGCGCGTTCGCATCCTGACGTTACTGCCTGATTCCTGACTTCGAAGGCGCTGGTCACCTTGTTCATAGACCTTCATACCAGTTACCTGCAGCTCATCGTGTAAAGTAGCTTAGCTTGTAAAACGTGCTGTTTCCTACAAGCTCCAGAAGACCGCCGAGACACAAACCGTGCGCTCATCTTTTCGTCTGTCACACGCTCTGTCGGCTTTTATCGGCCCCCAAATCCATCACGTGGTCCCTAAAGTCGCTGCGGGGTTCGTCACTTCCTTTGCTTCCTTTTTGACCACTTACGTCGCGTCCCTCAAGGAGCAACCAGCTGGTCCTCGTCTACAGCTGCGCGGCGCTGGATTCGCCACACTCGCTCAACCACAGCAAACAACAACAGACGGACCAGAGACCAATCGCTGCAGCTGTTTCTCCGACCCACAGACCAATACACCGCCGCACGAGGAGCAGCGACGAAAAAACCTCACACGTCGTTTTGTCTGATCCGCAGCTGTCGTCAAGTGGCCGCGTACCCTCAAGTGTACCCCCACTCGCCCACCTCATGACGGCCTCAGCTAAGCGCCCGTCGACCGCGTGTCTGCGCCCACTCACGTGCGTCTATCTCGCGCTGCGCACGTCCTGTCCGTCGGTTGCGGCGCTCCCCAACGTCCACGCATCGATCTCGTCGTACTTGGACCACTCCCCGCGCTTTTCGATCCCGCAGGCGTGTTTACGCATCATTACCCGCGCGAAACGGCACTTATTGGAGCGATTAAGAGCCAATCAATGCGCGACTTTGAGCCCCGAGTCGGCCCAAGAGCTCCGGTGGTACCGTCAATGGGCCTTCGCGCGGGGCAGTGCCATTGCGGCCGCACGGGGCGACCTCGTCGTCTTGCAGTGGCTCTGTCAGGTGTACTACCCGCAAGGACAAGTGACGGACGCCGTGGAGAAAGCTGCAGAGGCGGGCCACGTGCACATTCTGCAGTGGCTCTACGACCACCACCGGAACGTGTCGTGGGGCGCGAATGAGCTGCGGGTGGCGGCCCAGAGCGACCGCGTTGCCGTGGTCAAGTGGCTGTACGCGCACACGTCTCCCCCGGTCTTTGCCGGCGCGCAGGCCATGGAATTCGCGGCTGCAAACGGCAACTTGGCACTGGTCGAGTGGCTGCATACTGAGCAACGACAGTGGTCGGGCTATGGAGCAGCTGAAGCAGCTGCTCGTGGCCATTTGCATGTGTTCAAGTACATGGTCAAGGGACACGTTGTGCTCCGGGAGAGCGCGCTGAATGACGCAGCAGCACGGGGCCAGTTGAAAGCTGTCAAGAAGCTTGTGAAGCGACAAGCGTCGTTGTTGACGACACGAACCACGACGGTTGCAGCAGAAAACGGACACTTGCACGTGGTCAAGTGGATGCACAACAAGAAGTTTGATGGCAAGTTTGCGCTCTGGACGACGGTAGCCATGGACAAGGCGGCGTCGAATGGGCACTTGGCGATGGTCAAGTGGCTGCATCAGAACAGGTTCTTGGAATCGTGGAAGGCTTGTACGCGAGACGCGATGGATCGAGCGGCGTGCAACGGTCACATGGAAGTGCTGCAATGGCTCCATCGACATCGCCATGAAGGATGTACGACCAAGGCGATGGATGGTGCTGCAGCAAATGGTCATATGAAGATTGTCAAGTGGCTGCATGAAAACAGGATGGAAGGGTGCACGCACGATGCAATGGATGTCGCAGCTGCAAACAATCAGCTGCTTACTCTGAAATGGTTGCATCGAAACAGACGCGAAGGTTGTAGCACGGCTGCAATGGACAATGCGGCTGGGGCTGGCCACTTGAAGGTGGTCAAGTGGTTGCACGCAAGACGAAAGGAAGGATGCACGTTTCATGCCATGGATAACGCGGCTGCTAATGGTCATTTGGAAATGGTCAGGTGGCTGCAGTCGCACCGCAACGAGGGCTGTTCAGTGCAAGCAATCGATCGTGCGGCTGCAGGGGGTCACTTGGAGATGATCAAGTGGCTCAAATTGAACCGCTTTGAAGGCTGCACGTCAGCGGCAATGGATAACGCTGCGGCTGGAGGGTACTTGGAAACCGTGCGTTGGCTACATGTGCATTGTACTGAAGGATGTTCAGCTAGTGCAATGGATGAGGCAGCCGGAGGAGGTCACTTTGAGGTGATGGCGTTCTTGTTTGCGAACCGCAATGAGGGTTGCACGTGGCTAGCGGCGGAGAACGCTGCGCGCTCGGGCCATTTGGAGATTTTACAGTGGTTGTACCATCATTACCCAGACCAGTTCGATCGTACTCGCGTAGTCGCTGCCGCTAATAGAGACGACTTGTACTTGACGGAGTGGCTGCACACTGTTGGCATATGGTACGCGTCGTAAAGATTCGCAGCACTGTACAGTTGCTCATGTAGATTAGCAAGATGTGACGAGCTTTTTCGGCACACAGTTATGGAGGACAATCGCAAGTGGTCTCGATAGTTGTGTCAAAGCTATCGAGTGTTTTGATAGCACTGAAGTCACGGAAATCGTAGCAGCACCAGTAGAATACAGTCGATAAGTATTCATCTACAGTGCGATACAAAAGATCACTCGGGCGGGCAACGTGATTACTGCATGAGCAATCATCATGGATATGTTCCGACTCTTCGTCTTTATGTGAGCAACTCGATGGTGCAAACAGCAGCAACAATAACAATGTCTAGACAAGCAAGTCGGATCTTTGCACTCTACACCGGTATCACACATTCGCAGCTTAGTTTGTAATCACAAGTCATGTCTGACGGCTGACACTTCAACCAACATTTGCACTTTCGATTCCCGTTTCTCGTAAACTCAGCTTGTAGGTGCGTCACAAAGAAAGTTGACGCTCTTACACGTCTTCAAGTTGACTGTTTCTGCAGCTCCTTTTACCCGCTCGTTCCCACCACTGCGTCTAACAAGCCGATGCCGCATTGGCACAAAGCTAAGCAAGAAATCGAGTCGATCCAATCACTCATCTTAATCAACAACAGAAGTTTGTCCTTGTAGCACCAATGTTATCCCCACGCGATGACTAGCTCAGACGAGCTCTGATTTGTACGAAAGCATCGACGTTCAGATGTCCCTGTAGGCTGACCACCTCATGGCTCAATCCATGCACCGAGCTGACCACGTCCTATCTTACAGCGTACGCCCTATCTGTTAATAGAGCGAACGTACAGGAATAAGCGGCATCGGCTGCTTGTACTACCCCACTTGGTCTCTCTGCTTTGTGCAGCTTATGTTCGTCATCTCAATGCCACCGGCCGTGCCGACATTGATCTCACTTTGTCAGTGCCTCGATGTAAGTACTCGAGTACCTCCATGCAATGGTCGCCATACCACAGTACCTTTTGTTTGCGATCGCCCTAAGTACATCGCTGTCGTTGTCAACGATTGCTGAAGTCCTGACAAGCAGCCGCCCCCAACTCTTGCAGTGGCTATGTTTTTGGCATCAGTCGACGTTCGGAACTGTTCATTTGTTACTGCGTCAATACGTCGCTCTTACGATTGCAATAACAGCCACGCTTTGTACATTCAGAGAATTTGTCATGTACGCCTATGCCGCCATCGTGCCAGACACTTTCGTAAGCTCGCGACGACAACGGGGGTCTCGTGGTGCCCGGCCATACATTCAAACATGCGCTGCAAGTGAAAAAGGATCGATAGAAGCCGTGAGTTATCGCCTAACCATAAAACGTCGTTCTTGTACAGAATGCTCGACAGAAGACGAGACCACATCGAGATCAACTGCTTTGCAATGCAAAAAGAGACAACAGTGACGATGTCTGGAAAATGGGCCGAGTCAACGGCCACAGGACGGACCCTGAGGTCTGACTTGACATAGTCGTGTCTTGACACATCGGGTGCACGACAAGCGATCTGAGCAGCGAGATGGCATGTACCCGAGCTAAAGACGATACTACTACTACTACTACTACTACTACGACTACTACTACCACCTCTACTACTACTACTACTGTTGCAGCTCGTTCGTACTCGCACACGAAAGACGTCAATTTCGACAAAGTCTCTCTGCTCTCCGCTAAATAGCGCCAGACTCGATCAACGTATGCAGCCATCCTCCAGTCCCTCCGCTCGAATCCTCCGACTCCTCTCCCCTTCGTCCTTCGAGCCAACCATTGTCCAAATCTCCTCGTACCAGTGCCACGTCCAGCGCCGCGCGACTCCTCTCGTTCCTCTGGTTCCTTTCTACTTTACACTCCCCCCTCTACAATGAGCAGCGCACCCGCTCCTCCCGCCACGGACCCCACAGCCGCTGCCCCCGTGAGTAAAAACGAGCTCAAACGTCGTTTAAAAGCCGAAAAAGCCGCGAAGGTCAAAGCCGAAAAAGCCGCGAAAAAAGCCGCCGCGCCCGCCACGCCGTCGCACCAAACAGCCCTATCCCTCGCAGACGAGGACGAGTTGGACCCGACGGCGTACTTTTCGAACCGCGAGAAAATGTTGCGCGAACTCGAAGCCGAGGGCGTGAACCCCTACCCGCACAAGTTTGCCGTCTCCCTCTCGTTAGCGACGTTCCACGCGGCCTATGGCACTATTGCCGCCGGCAGTCACGTGGCCGACACCGTCGTCACCGTAGCCGGCCGTCTCCACAGCAAACGCGTGTCGGGCGCCAAGTTGGTGTTCTACGACCTGCGGGCCGACGGCCTCAAGCTCCAGATCATGTCGGACGTGGGCTCGTACGAGAGCGCAGCGGCGTTTGCAAAGGTCCACAGCCTCTTGCGGCGCGGCGACATTGTGGGCGTGCGGGGGTTTCCCGGCAAGTCGAAGAAGGGCGAGCTCTCCATCTTCCCGCAGCACGTGACGCTGCTCTCGCCGTGTCTGCACATGCTGCCCAAGAGCCACGCGGGCCCGACGCTCCAGCAGGACACGCGGTACCGCCAGCGCTACTTGGACCTCATGCTCCACGACGACACGCGGGCCGTGTTTTACACGCGCGCCAAGATCATTAACTTTCTCCGGCGGTTCTTGGACGACCGCGCGTTTCTGGAAGTCGAGACGCCCATGATGAATATGGTTGTCGGCGGCGCCACGGCCAAGCCGTTTGTCACGTACCACAACGACCTGCACATGAACCTCTTTATGCGCGTCGCGCCCGAGCTCTACTTGAAGCAACTGGTGATTGGCGGCCTCGACCGCGTCTACGAGATTGGCCGGCAGTTCCGGAACGAAGGCATTGACTTGACGCACAATCCCGAGTTCACGAGCTGCGAGTTCTACATGGCCTACGCCGACTACAATGACCTCATGACGATGACGGAGAAGCTCTTCTCGGAAATGGTCAAGGAGATCACGGGCAGCTACAGCATTACGATCCAGAAGGAAGCAGGCGAGGAGCCCGTGACGATTGACTTTACGCCTCCGTTCAAGCGAGTGAGCATGGTGGCTGCTGTCGAGGAGGCCACGGGTGTCACGATACCCATTGATGAACCCGACAAGTGTGTGGCTGTGCTCGAGGAACTAGTGACCAAGTACGAGCTCGAGTGCGCTGCGCCGCGCTCCATCGCTCGTCTCTTGGACAAGCTAGTTGGTCACTTTATCGAGGACAATAAGGCGTACTGGACCAAGCCGTTCTTTATCATGGACCAGCCCGTGTACAACTCGCCTCTGGCCAAGTACCACCGCACAAAGCCAGCGCTCACGGAGCGTTTCGAGCTCTTTCTAGCTGGTGCCGAAGTGTGCAACGCCTACACTGAGCTCAACAATCCCAAGGTGCAGCGTGAGCGCTTTATCGAGCAGATGGAACAGGCTGCTGCTGGCGATGACGAAGCCCAGCCACATGACGAGTCGTTCTGCACGGCCATGGAGTACGGCCTGCCGCCTACTGCCGGGTGGGGCTGCGGTGTCGACCGTTTGACAATGTTCTTGTCCAATCGGTTTAACATCAAGGAGGTGCTGCTTTTTCCTGCTATGAAGCCGGACGAACAGGTCGCCCCGGCCCCTGCGGCTAGCCCCTCGGCTGCACTGATCTCTGCAACGGGCTCGGTGGCCCTAGACGTGCTCGATAAGCGTTTGGCTGGATCCACTTTTGTGAACGGATCGTCTCCTTCGAAGGACGACACGGCTGTGTTTGAGCGCGTGAAGGTTGTAGGCAAGGACGTGTTGAAAAAGTTCCCGAACGTCGACAAGTGGCTTGACTTTGTGACTGCGTTTCCAAACGAATTGCGAGCCAAATGGTAGATCGAGTGGAGACTGGATGGTAGCAGTGGAGGAGCGAGAAGCAAGCGAGCGATCGCGCCGCCGTCGATGCTGACTTTCACCATAGCTCGAGCTCGTCTGCTGGGACTGCGAAGGTGGACTGCGGAGGTGGCTTGTTGACCGATCTGTTGCACTCGCAGCCGTTGATACGAACCTGCAAGAAAAATGTACAAGTTGTGTCGCAAGCACATGGGACTCCCTTTGCAGTCGTGTCGTGTGTTGCTACTGGTGCGTCTGAGCGTTAGGTACGTGCAGGAAACTCGGCAGCTTGAGTGCATGGTCTACTGCCAGCTCTCTGAAGCAATGACAAACGTCTTCAGCTTTCAGCTCGCAGTTTGGTACATTGCGATGAGTTGAAGTCAGCGTTTATTGCACTGTGTCGATCGAAGTTGTAGTGTGCATATGTATGCCCTGCAATGGCTGTGTCACGAAGTAAATGTGTCGTCGACGATGTTTTTGCCAAGCGTATGCACGCAACTGCCAATTGCGTCCGTCCTTCGGCTAAAACCGGTACTTCAGCTGCGAGTCGATCGGCTAGCGGTGGCACGTCCGGTCTGCAGATTATGCTAAGTTCGGTTTGCAGGACAGACTCAGCATGTTTGATCAAGCTGTGGACTAAAGGCTCTGAGAAAGGTGACATGAACAAATTTAGAGCCGGAAAATTAGATCCGAAGGGGTGAAAACCGATGTCTTGCATTGTGTTTGCGCGGCGTGCGCAAGAGACAGGCGATCGATCCCAGGACAGCGTCAGGCTGTGAACCCATTGGCCAATTAACTACTCCTTTTCTACTGCCGCTGTTTACTTGGAAATTGCCCTCGTAGTTATTTACCTCGATCGCTATTTATTATCGAGCGGCACCTCTAGCAACATAACACCTGCACGCCCCGAAAGCGCAACATAACACACCACACAGACAACAATGAGCGAAGGACGTCTGCAGCACTTGCTGCAGCCGCTTCGGTACGTCTCTGCGCGGTCCCTTCTCCCGCCACGCTCTGTCTGTATCGACGTACACTCACCCGAAACGTTTCATCACTGCCACTGCCGCTGTTGTCTCTGTTCTTGTCGTTGGCGTCGGTTTAATGTATGCAGAGACTTGAGCAAGAACTGGAACATCGACTTGGCGACAGAACTAGAGGACTATATGGACAAACTAGAGACCCTCAGTATCGCATTCGACCCGCACAATGGCAGTGCACGCATTGCAGGCGAAGGAGACGGTGCGACTGGGGTCATGAACTTTGCAGAGGCCGCGCTGTTGATTCAGGGCACGAGTATCATCTACAGTCGGAAAGTCGAGTACCTTCATGCCTTAGTGTACCAGACGCTAGCTCACTTGTCGCAGCAACAGGAAGATACAAAGCAGGGTCAGGAGCGTGGAAAAAGAGCTGGTGGAGAGACGCAAGAGGACCAAGACGGGTCCGATGCCAGTGTGTTGGACTCTTCACTGTTGCTGTACGACGAGCTGGAGGAAGCCAAGCCGTCGCATATCACACTCAAGAGCACAATGTCGGGCGACGGAGAGCGTGACGGTCGTGGAGGAGGGCGAAAAAAGAAAGAGGCCAAGGCGCTGCATCGGAGCAAGAACAACATGGAAGCGTCGATTGCATTGATGGGGTCACTGGTGCCGGATGAACGCGACCACGGTGAGACGTATAAGCTGCTGTCGTGTAACTTGCATGCAAGTGGCGTGCTGCTGCTGGACGAAGCGAGTAGAAAGTATCTCGGCGCACAGCAGCGAGTTGTCGAGTCGGCGTTCGGGGAAACGCCGGGGCGGTACGGCGGTATGTGGGTAGCTGCAGATGGAGATCAACCGGCGACTGCGCTGAATTTTGATGACATGGATGCAAAGGATGATGGCGACGATGACGCGGGAATGATGGATCCATTCGACGAGCAGGCAGACTACGAGTATAGCGCTGGTGAAGCGTTGCAGGATGATCACGTGGAAAGTACGGGGGATGACGCGCAGCAGGAGAATGCAGTGACTACTGCGAAATTTTCTCGTGCAACGATGGCCGCGGTGCCGGTGAGTGAGAAGGACCCGTGGGCACCACTCGATGCGTACGATGCGAGCACATCGGTGGCGAGACCGTTCAAAAAGGGGCGATCATACCCGCGGGTACCAGCATACAAGAAAGCGAAGGCGAATTCTGCAGCATTGAGCAATAAGCAAGGAATTGTAGGCGTGGACGGCGATACAGAGCAGGATGGCTTGTCCGATCCGGCATTCCATGATCGCTTCTTCATGCGATCGAACGGAATGCAGTGGGCATCGTGGGTCTGGTCAGAAGTGGCAGGTGAGAATCCTTTGGAGAAAACTTGCAGAAAAACGTATTGCCGCGCCCCACTTCTTGCAAAAAGCTGCGATGCGCTCTGGCGGCGCGAGGCCAAATGGCGCAGTATCATGCGTCGTTGTGAAGCCCGCGAGAAACAGAGTGCACAAGCCATGCTGTTGCGTGAGCAGGCCATGGAAGAGGAGGAGGCTGCAGATACATATGATCACATGCAAGCCTTGACGCTGTCTACTGCAACAGCGCGCTTGGACATGGCTTTTCGGTACGATGCGAGTGGCAACAGAGATGACGAAGACCGTGACGACAATGGCGACGACAACGATAACGACTGTGACGATGGCTTTGATGGTGGCAACTTGGACCAAGGAGATACGATGGACGATATGATGGATTCGTATGATGCTGCTACGACAGCGGCGAGTTCGTCCGATGGGCCGCTGACGTACGAGGAGATCTGCCGACAGCACTTGGCGTCCTTTATGTCTGGCACGGAGAAGTATGTCCGAGAGACGGACCTGAGCAAGCAAGTGAGCGATTGGCAGGAGAAGCTCACGCCGTTGCTGAAGCAGCAGGAAGCACACCCGCCTTTCGATATCCACCACTATGGTCGTGAAATCATTGGACGCCTGGAAGAGGAATACAAGAGCTTCAGTCTCGACAAGCTGAGTGGGTCTTCGAAGCGTGACAAGAAGAAACGCGCCAGGCTGAATGTGCTGCCCGAAGAAGAGGAAGCGGAAGAGCGGGACACGGTGCCGTTTGAAACGTTGGTGGATGGCAAAAGTCAGTTTGAGGTATGCCGTCTCTTTTTGGCGTCACTGCAGCTCGCAAACAGCGGCAACGTGTCATTGTCGCACGCACATACCACAGCAGAGCATGGACAGGTGCCGTTTCGAATGCAGCTACTTACTAGTGCCAACACTCACGGCACCTTACAAGCGTAATCTGGACAAAGTGAGACGACCTGTACAAAAGGACATCATCAGCGAACGATCCCTAATCGTTCTGGTCGCTGAGATGCCAAGCGATGTATCTATTCGCTTTCGAGTCAACTTTGGTGTGGAAGAGTCGTGGATGTCGGTAGTGAAGGTGGAAAAAGCTGCGCGGAATGTGAAAAGCCGTTGTCTTGGAACCACCAGCGTGGACTCTGAGGCATTGCCTTGCACATACACGATTACTGTATCCGTCAGTGCAAGTCGCACCGTTCACGACGGTATTGAGGCAAAAGTACTGACACGTATTACCAACAGCATAGACGCGGCGACAAAGAGGTCCGTATGTTTTTACCAGCACTGCTTTGTCAAGTTCTGGTCACAGCATGTCGTCCCAGTCCTTTGACTCTTCGGTTGTCAAGTAAGCAGCAATAAAACCTCAGTGGTCTGGACGCGGACATTATATCTGAGCCGACAATTCATACGAACTCGCCCTTTGCCAAGACGCGTATAGCCGCTGTATACAGACTCAGAGGGCGCGAGCCGGGGCGCCCACCTTCAAGCTCTGTTGCATTGCATGGCACTGTGCTTATGATTTGTACGACTCGATCCTTTGCTTTGCTGTGGGTCGTCATGCGACTCTAGAAATGGAGTCTGCTATCAAAGACTATAGACTTTACTCGTTTAAACAAACTGGTCAAAATGACACAAATGAAGGCTTTTGCGGCGCGTCGGGCGATGGCCCATTTCGTTTCTATCGTCCCCACGTCCACTTTACCGCAAAACAAGAGCAACGCGATAGAAATGAGGACGTTCGCAATCGCAGTCGCCCGTCGTCGTTGTGAGCCGCTCGCGTCACAACGTGCCCAGCGCTCATATGGGTGTGTTTACCCATTTCCCTGCCCCGTGCTGCCGATATCGCCATCGTCGCAATTTCGCCAGCGGCCACTCGATAAAACCAGCTCTATCACCGTCGAAATGGCCGCGGCCACCTCCCCGCGTCCACCAAAGGCCTCGGCCGGCCCCCCCCGTCGCCAAGCGACGACAAGATGGACGCCGTGCACCGTCTGCTCGACTACCTCGAGACGTTTCCGTCCGACGCAGGCGCTGTCGAGCTCCGCGACCAGCTCAGCGCCTTTACCCACTACGACCTGCGCGCCGCGTGCTCGCGCCTGAATTTAGCCATGTCGAAGCGCCAGAATAAAAAGGGCGGGTACATTTCCGCGCTCGTTTCCTATTGGATGGCGCGGCCCCCCACCCCCACCCCCACGCCGCCGCCGCCTGTGGCCGCGGGCTCGGGGGCTGAAGTAACGCCAGTGCCGTCGCGCGCCACTTCCGAAGAACCCACGGGCATGGAGCTGCCCGCCGACGTGGCGCAGTTCGTGCAGCTCTTCCCGCCCCACGGCCACGTCCAAGAGCTCACGGACCAGCTCGCGGCCTGTCGCTCGCGCACGCTGCGCTCGGCGTGCGTCGTGCTGGACCTCCACCCGCGCAAGAGCTTCACCAAAGCCGACTTCTTGGGGCTGTTGGTCAGCTACTGGCAGGACAGTTCGGCCGTGACGCCGAGGGCAGCGGCCCACGAGAAGGACGTGGACGACATGGCGCGGCCAGCGCCAGTGCCGCCGTCGACTACAAAGAGAGCGCGCGACGACGAGGGGAAGAAAGTGGGGGGGAAGAAGCAAAAGCAAAAGCAGCAGCAGCAGCAGCAGCAGCCGAAGAAGAGCGTGAAGGACGTTGCGCTTCGAGGCGACGACGACCCGCCGGACAAGTGGACGGCGGCGCTCGAGAAGGCCAAAGTCGTGAAAGAGTGGGCGTCGGCGATTGAGATTTTGTCGCGCGTGGACGGCAGTGCCGAGAGCATCGAGTCCATTAGGAGTTTGATTGACAGCGTCGTGCATAGCGCCACGAGCGAACTGTAGCGACGCACGCGACGACGACGACGAGAGTTGGAGTGGCGCGGGGGGTTTGCTTCGTCATCTGGTGCCGGGTGGGCCCTTTGTCTCTGCTTCGCACTGGTCGTCGATACACTTCTTCGCACGAGCCCAAACGCATTCGGTGCAGGACACTTTGGGATTATTGGACGGATCGATGTTTTAGGTGGCGATGGAGTGGCGCTGCGGGAACGATTGGGCGTGTTCGATCGACGACTGTGCCGGCCGAAAGCGCGGGTTTAGACGCTTAAAATAGGAAAACCGGTACTTGGAACACCAGTGAAGTAATCGTCTCGTGTTGCGCGAAGGTGGCGGCTCAATCTTCCACACGACGACCGGGTCGAGGACAGAACGCTTAGCCTCTTTTTCACGAGACAATTGGTATTGCCCCACACACTTATTGTGACTGCCTCGACATCCTTTGCACCGTCAACGCCGCGCCCTTTATCCACTCGACCGCGTGTTTTATACCACAAGTGTCTACGATACACAAGTGCGTGACACACGATCGATGGACAGAGGCGCTGGGCTTATGCTGCAGCTAGACAAAGCTAGCCCACATTCTCAGCAGTACAGTTATGTGTTATGCGACTGTTTGACGAGCAGTAGAGTGCAGAGGAAGCAAGCTAACGAACAAACAAGTTAGTTGGGTGTAATGATATGGAGATGCATTTGACATGGGTCATCGCATCAATGTAATGTTGTTCGTTCATTTTTCGTGTTGGTTAGATCAATGCACATCCACTAACTGTTTACCGCTTTGACCACCACACACGGCTTGCGCTTATCATTCATTTAGCGCTCAGTTGGTTAGTACACTGAGGCCAATATCGACATAGGAACAAAAGGCACCAAATGTTAAGCTCCAAAGTGACTTGTACGAATAATACTACGAAAACCTTATGCGCAACGACACTACTCAATAGCACATAACCAAATCACCTCGTTACGTTACCTTCCAATGACACTTGACGATGAGCGATTGAGTGCCCAGTTCGCTCACGCGCGCCGGTGACTCCGAAGCGGACCACCCGCAACAGTTTGACGCGTACAGCCGCTATATCGTCGGATCGTTTGCTGCATCATACGACCTGCGTTCGAATTCACGCAATTTGCGCCTGCGAGAGCACAATTACAATGAGACTAATAATATGGCAGTTCGTCAAGACAGTTATGATAAGCTGACAAGCTTCACCGTGATCGAAACCATCGTTCTGATGGAGGCGAACGTGGTGTCGGTGCTTTTGTGGACACCACGCTGGAGTTGAGAGGTCTCGATGTTCTACGTCTCGCTCCACAGACGCAGCCTGGTTACGGTTGTCGAATAAGCGCCTCGACTAGAGGACGTGAACATTTAGATGATAAGCAATGCACGGCGTAGCAATTGCTAACGCGCGACGTGGCAATTACAAATTTGAGACTATACGATCAGTAATACTCGATATGATAATTGCTAACGTATTTCGAGTAATTTAGAAATTTTTAGGTAGCCATAGAACAGTGCTAACTAAATGATCAAAATCTATTACTTTGCGTTATTCCATAGAATGCTCAGCTACCTTAGCTACAAGTTACGGTCCCAAGTCTCGCCTTTTCATAAACAGACCCCGACTTCGCCTTCGCCATGGACGTCTCGCTAACCCAGCCGCCCGCTTAAACAAGTCCGAGGGACGAACTTTATCACTCAAAATGGAAGTGCGAGGTGCGAATGGTGCTATAACAGCGCGACCTATGGAAAGTGACACGTGTTTAGGATCAACAAGGAGCCTTGACCAACGCGATGGGGTCAAGCGACGCAAAAAAGCATTCGAGCAAGGCTCTAGAGATAATGTATATCGCGATAAAAGATTCACAACCTTCTCTTGTTCATTCGGCAAGTGGAGCGTGCGATGCATGGTCAAGATTGGGAGGACGTTTCGATAGAAGAGCCTGGCGAACAAGCTCATTCTTCGTCGACACGTTATATGACAAGGATGGGAGAAGGTGATGATGTGCTGGGGCTTCTCAACAGCTGGAAAACCTGGCGAAGAAGATCGATGCGGTTGGCGCTTCTGTTGAAGAGGACGACGTTTTACTCAAGATTTACAGTAGCCATAGTGAGTTATTTAGTTCCTGATCGCGGCGTTGGATCCTCGTACCGACTCGATGTCGTTCGATACTCTCGACTTGTCGGCTAATGAATGAAGATATGAAGCGCAAGGAACAACATGGCGGCGTACACGAAGCCTCGGATGGTCAAGGCCAAGCATTCATGACAAGCGATCACACCGAGCGCAGAGGAGGGCGGCCAGTGCAGAAGGCCAGTTCGTGCCACTACTGTAGACCAAGGACATTGGATTACTAAATTTCTGGTAAGATACGAGAAACGCGAAGAAACAGATGCCGCAACAATTAATCGTCGCGCAGATCAAAAATGAACCCGATGGCAAAATTTTGTGGTAATTAGAGAAGCACCAAGTAAATAACGCATGTCTACTGGTCTTGAAAGCGACACATAATATGACATACTCTTAAGATTACAAGAAAAACCACGAGAAGATCTTGCCGGTGGACGTGCATAATAAAGACGAAGGCGTGGTGCAAGCAGTGGGGACGAGCGACATCGGATCAAGAAAAACGCGTGAAGTGGCAGTTGGGTGCGCGCATGGTAAGAGCTTAGCAATTTGTGCATGACCCCCCTCATGCTAGACGAGTTAAACGTGTCAATCTCGAACACCTACAATGTAACGGGGCACACCCTTGCGTAACTTAACGCAAGGGTTTTGAGTGCCCCGACAGACGTACACGTGGCAAGCGAGGAAGCGTAGGTAGGGTAAAAGTAGAACTGTTATATTAATAAATTAAGTCTTTAAACTACTGTCTCTTCGTTTGACTTAATTCAATTATACTAATATAACTGCATGTATGGTGACGTCTCGTCACCACTCATTGCGCGCGTCTTGCGGCGATTGGTGGGTTGATATCATCACGATATCAACCAATGAACAGACCCTTTGGTCGACCCTTCAATATCACCACTTTGGTGATATTGTTTTAAAGAATATCCATCTTTATATTCTTTATTGTCACTTTCCTTAAAGTGACAATTTCATGTAACGGGCTGCCCCGTTACATCACCCCCCTTAACTGATAGTCACCGTGTGACTATCGAAAACATGGAGGCCACCCGTTGGCCACCATTGGGACTGGGAGCACTTGTTGGGTCCGTTCCATTCACTTTCCGCTTGACCTCGCATAGTTAACATGTCTATGCGAGGTGACTCAAGACCCACACAGCCTGGTGCTGTGCAAGCCTCTGCGGCAGACGCTTCGTCGTCTGCCGCCCCTTCTTGCCTGCAGCAACAGGTGCTGCAGGTGCACGCGGTATCACACCGCGTGCGCACGATGACCCTGATGTAGAGGTCATCTACTCTGGCGAGTCAGACGTGTCTGACTCGGGCAATGCTACAGAGGCGTCTCGCTAACCGGCGACGCCTCAGTATTCTCCAAGACCACTGCCGAACGAACGGACTCGTGATTTGCATCACAGCCTGTTCGGCAGTGATGATGATGATGATCAGGGTGGTGAGTTCTATTCTTCACCACCGCCGGCTCGTGCGTCTTCGCACGAGCGTGATGACGATGGCGCGAGCCGTCGTCAATCTGGGAGCCGTGGTACCGACAAGGGTACCACTGTGAAGCGTGATGAGTTGAAGCCGTGGCGTTTGCCCGAACAACTCATCAATAGCCTGTCTCACGAGACAGGCCAACACCATCGAATACCCTTATTCGATGCAGCCGAGCTTCACGGCTTGAGTGTCAGCGCGAAGAACTTTCGCGCTGAAGAAGATTTTTATCTCGATGTCTTTCTTAGACATCGATGGTACAACAGCAACCAAAAGCGTGACAAAACATCGCTTTTGGCTGCGTGGAACGCGTTCGTCCAAAACGTAAAGAATTTTGGACGAGAAGGGTGGCTCAAGAAACTTGAGGCAACACGCCTCCGGTTCGAACGGCGAACGCCAACCGGTGCTAGGTACCGGTTGCATTGTTTATCGAGTGAGGCAGGCATTCCTTGCCTCACATGGGGAGACCCTTGTGCGAGTTGTGTTTACCTTGCAGCGTGCACATAGGGATGTGTACTCCCTAAATTCGCCCTGGGGAAGGGCACACATCTCGGCTGAGATGCGTGACGCGATTGCAAACTTGCAATCCGTCTACAAGCGCCTAGGGCGCGTGTTTACCGATGGGCCACAGGACTCATCGGATGGGTCTCGTCATACTGGCGGACGAGACCTTCAACATCCATCAACAGCTGAGAGCGAAGCTCCCAGCTGTTCCAAGAGGGTGGATACCCCCGCCACTGGACGAGGTAGCTCGTCCTTGATCCTGAATCGTCACGGTGGTTCAAGATACGCTCCACTAGAAAGGGTTGATCACCGTGAGCATCCACCAAAGGATGTGGTGGAGGAGGAAAGACCTCCTCCAGATGATTCTGTTCACCATCTCGACCCTTACGAGATGGATCGCGCAATCGATGAATTGCGCGATGACTTGAAGCACGAGCGCGATCGGCGCTACGCTTTGACCGATACCGTGCGGAAGAACCGCAAGGGTCACGAGGCTGATCGGGCGAGGGATCGCGCCGATTATGCCACGGCGCAGCTTCAGGTCGAGCGGGATGTCCGCTCCCTGTTCGGCGAGCTGGCGACAGCTCGCGGGGAGATATCTCGCTTGAATACCGAGGTATCATATCTGCGCGACCAGACGGATCGTCTGGAGCGCGAACGCAAGAACTTGATGGATGTTCTTGAACGTGGGGGCTATCTTCATCGGAAGAAGAAGGCTCGTACTGACAGTACGACCTAAGCCTCCCCACGTTAAACGTAGAATGCGTGCGCATCCTACGTGGCAATTCGAGTGTGTATGCATTGCCCTTGCGATGCAACACTCGAAATGGCCCAATGTATTTCGGCAGTAGTTTGCTACTGCCGACACTAGTGACTGCA